ATGACATTGCTTCTTTCATCCTTCTGTGTCTTGTTTGGTTCTGGATAATTCCTGGCAGAGTGTGGCTGTGGGTTTGTGGGCTATCACTATTCCTAGGGGTTGGAGAATTCTGGCTTGTCATTTCTGACACCCCTTTTGTGTGTGGTAGGGTTAGTTTTTGCATGGCGGTCAGCTGTGTGGTGTGTGGGTTTGGGTGCTATGTGTCGGAATATGAAGTTTTTGGGATAGCCATTATGGAGAAAGACATCGAACAGCCGTTTCTCTTATGCTTTTCTTAGTGCTGTGGTGCTGCAGTGTGTCGTGGCCCTTCTGTAGCATTTTCAAAATGCTAAGACAAAAGACTTCATTTAATTTAAAACTTTCAGAGGAACACATTATACACCTACTATAACAAAGGGTAGAAAGGATAACAATCATGCCTTCTGCAGTCTGAATCACTGTGATATGGACATTAGTAGCAAAGCAAAGGATTTTCTTACAATTTTGCTAGACAAAAGAAAGCTGTTAAGCAGCTCTGAGAAAGATATAAATATTGCGATTATTCTGTATTGAGTAGCTGAGGATGCATTTAACCTTATTCTTTATTGTTGTAAGGTTTGGGGATTTTTTTAGTTGAAAGTACTTTTAATTGTTAAAAAGAGATAAATCCATCACTGTCTTCCTTTTTTTTGTCATACTTTCCTTTCTTCAATTACTGTCCCCTTTTTAATGCTTTCTATCTCCAAACATGCTATGCTTTAAATATTTTAGATTTATTTATTTATACAATTTATATGGCTTCCCAATTCACAAATGGGAAGTCTGGCGACTTACATAGGGTAAAAAAACATAAAAACAGCAACAAAACAAGACAACAAATTATAATACAGGCAGTCCTCGATTTCCAACGGTTCATTTAGTGATCGTTGGAAGTGACAACAGCATTGAAAAAAGTGATTTATGACTGTTTCTCACACTTGTGACCCTTGCACCATCCCCATGGCCACGTGATCAAAATTCAGATGCTTGGCAATTGATTCATAGTTATGACAGTCGCAGTGTCCCGGGATCACGTTCCATTTTGCAACAAGCAAAATCAATGGGGAAGCCAGATTCACTTAACAACTGTGACAAGGAAGGTCAGATCTCCTGGGATGAACAGAGGTAATTCCAGATGGTGATTCCAACAATAACTCAGCCTGGTGCTATGAAGAGCTTTGCAGGTGATGACCAGCCCTTTAAATTGCACCAGAAGCTTACGGAAGTCTGTAATGGGTTATGAGAATAACCTTGAGGAACAGGAAGAAGAGCTACAGCCGGTAGGTTGACAGAGCCAGCGTAGTTCACACAAGAGCGCTATGGTATGCCTGAAATTACCTGCAGCTTCTAAATCAGGGGGGTCAAACTGCCGGACCGCGGGCCGGATGCATCATGGCGAAACCGCGCCCACCCCATTGCCAGCAATGGAAAAAAAGTCCCGATACGTCACGACACATCACGTGACGTTGCGAGTTTGACACCCCTTCTCTAAATGATCCTCAAGGGCATGTTGCAATAGCCCAGATGGGCAGGTAGCCAAGGCATGAGTGAGTATGAGTGAGGCCTGCTGATTCTGGAATGGTACAACCATTCCACAAGATGGATTTATGCAAATGTTCTCTTGGTCCACAAATGCCATCAGTTAATCTATTTCCTCTAGGGGTTTAGAATGGCAGTCACCTTCCCTAAAAAGGGAAGTCTTCTTGGATTTAGGAATAGCTTCTTGGGCCATCGCCTCTTAAGAGCCAGAGGAGACCCCTCTCTCCTCTTTCTTGCAAGCATGCATTTACAATTTCAGGGGTCCAACCCATCTGTAATCTCCTGAGAAGGCTTACCCAACCAGGAGAGACATGGATTTAATAAACAGTCCCAAGGACCCTGCCTGCTTCAGCTATGTAAAACAAAGCCCGGTGATTAAAAATACAGGCAAAACGACAGGAGAATAATACAGTACAAAGGAAGGGATTCAGTTATTATGAAGTTTCTGTCTTAATTCATATATTTTGGCACCTAGAATGTAAAGTTTGCTCCCATGGGACAGTCTCACTGGGTTTAGGATTTAAAAGAAGCATAAATTGTTATAAGGAGATAAAACTCTTCAGTGTAAATGAAACCGCATGAACATAAAATAGAACCACTTTGTGCAATTGAGATAAATATACAGGTAGTCCTTGGTTAACAACTGCCCTCTTTAGCAACTGTTTGAATTTACAACAGTACTGAAAAAGTAGTTCTACAACGTGCTCAAACTTAAAGACCATCACAGTGTCCCTGAAGTCACATGGCCATTCAGATGCATTGCAACAAGTGTGCGTTTACGATGGTTGCAAGTGTCCTGCTTTCCCTCTGATCGCTGTTTGCAAGCGTCATGGCTGGCTTCTGGCAAGCAAAGTCAAGGATGAATCCAGCAGTAAGTTGTAAGTTGTGGTCATCTGATGTCTTTAGGTGAGGATTATCTGTATATTTATTATGCTGGGATCCTGCTTGCCAAAGTTTTTCCTACCTTAATCACCACCCCAGATTACTTGTATGCTATATATAAAGGTTAACTTTGCAATGTTTTCTTCTGTTTCTGCCTTCAGTTGGTCAATTTTTTATTTTCGCATGCAAATAGTATATATGCACTAAAAAAAAATTGGATTGCGAACAAAGAGTTAAAGGGAGACTGGGATAGCTAAAAAAAAAAAATTCTTCCTCCCATATTTGGGCCAACAGGGTGCATTAAAAAAAACACTCTAGACATGTATGTATGTATGTATGTATGTATGTATGTATGTATGTGTATGTATATGTTAAATTTAGATTGCTAACCGTTAAAGGGAAGCTGGTATAGCTATTTCAAGCTCCTTATATGTATGTATATGTATGTATATATATCTCAAATAGTATACATACATAACATATACTTCTTTTGGAAATTTCATAGTTGATTTTTTTTAAAGAAAAGTATTGTTAAAATATTTCAAGTAGGTATTAGAAGAATGCACAGAAATCCATAACTTTACCACAGAGCTGATATATCTGTATTTTTTGTAGCTCTGTTCTGTCTTCTGTAAGAACTCACACAACGATGTTTCCAAAATGCATGTAACTGTACATTTGGATGCACAGTTTGGTCTAATTTTAATTGAAACCGCCATGAGGCAGTTTTGGGAAAATTAAGGTCAGAATAACTTGCATTAGTCTGTTGTGAAAGGAATGGTTAGCTAATATGACAGGGGTCTGCAATTCATCCTACAGTTATATAGCAGTGTCTGCCTAAAGAGATATTTGGGGACAGTTCACGTTTTCTCTCATTTTTTTTTTCAAATAGTCTGTCAAGATCTTACTGTGCTAACAGCAGAGGTATCCAGCTAAGTGCTCAAACCATCCATGCAAATGAGTTTCACAGATAATTACCCAGGTTTGATGGCGGTAGAATGTTTATTTACAAAACAGTAAAAACAGAGTAAACAGATATTTGGTGTGAACATGCTAAGCACTAGCTTCCTTGAGTATTTTGGGTAAGATGCTAGGCTACAAATCATAAGAATAAGAAATAGTAGAAATACACCTATTCTCTTTCTTCTGTCTTCATCTTCTGAATACCATTGCTCAATTATCTTATAATTCCATGTGCCAATCCTAGTATGGGTAACCAACATCCCTGAGGCTAATTTTAAAACCTGTAAGTGATGAACTTAGATATCTGGCAAAAACTATTCTACCTCCTCAAGCATCCCATGCAGAGTGCAAGTTCACACCCATACAGATATATTCCCCATGCTGCATTTAGCTGGAACAGCAAAAAAGAAAAAGAAAATGAAACATAAGATAAGTGGAAGAGACATCTGCACCAAAAGGAAAGGAAAGACCACTAAACTAGGAAGTGATGAAAATAGTAGAAGAGCTAACCAGGAAGAGGAAAAAAGGTAATGAAGCCCTATTTAGACATTATAAAAGGTGTTCATCTTCACTAACTAAGTAGCCTCTACCAAGTACCAGCTGTACTTCAAAGGCACCCATGTGCTTTGGGGAATAAATGTAAGAAAGTCAATAGTGACCTCTACATTGATATATCTGGCTTATTGATCCCTCCCTGAATTCTATCCATCATTTGAAGCATCTTCTAAACACCATGTTCAGGATCCCCAAACCCTTGTACACTTGGTTGCATCTCTTTTGAATTGGATCACCCCAGACGCGCCAAGGTCAATGGCCTTAGTGAAGTCACACTGTATTTTTTTTTTGTCTTTTGAATACCGTGTATATAACACTTAGATAGAAGGGCACATTTTTGTGCAGTGTTGTTGATTGTGTGCTTCAGTAAAAGTCCCAACATCATGCAGACCTTTGAATGGACCTGGTTTATCCTAACTATTGGGATAGGAAATCAATGGAAAGTATTTCACCAGCGAAAATTATCATCATTATCTTCTTCTTCTTCTTCTTCTTCTTCTTCTTCTTCTTCTTCTTCTTCTTCTTCTTCTTCTTCTTCTTCTTCTTCTTCTTCTTCTTCTTCTTCTTCTTCTTCTTCTTCTTCTTCTTCTTCTTCTTCTTCTTCTTCTTCTTCTTCTTCTTCTTCTTCTTCTTCTTCTTCTTCTTCTTCTTCTAATTTTATCTAATTAAGATAAAAAGGGCAGAATCCCATCACCTTATTGAATTATACTCTTTTTCCATTCCATCATTCTTGCCTATTTAAATTCACAGAATCTTTTCTTTTTCGGGGGAGGGGGGATAGAATCTTGAATCCAGATTGAATTTCAGAGATTAATTAAACTGGGCATTTTCAAAGCACAGCTGAAATTCATTGCTATAACCAAGTTAAAGATGTTGAGTCATCCTTAAAGGATCAATCTGTAGTTAAATAAATTAAGTCTTCACAGCACACACACATCACCACAAACCTAACCCTTTAAACTGACCCAGTGTATCATAGAAGCTGCCATAAATCACTTACATCTTGCTTTAAAGTCCCTCATTCCTATTTTAATTGCTCATTACAACAATGACCAAACATTCACATGGCTCACTTACATTTATTAGATGTGACAGATGGCTGTGTCTGGATTCCTGATTCATCATCTCAGATTTCCTTTCTGATGGGGCTGTGTAATCACTTGGCAAATAAACTGAAATTGTACTCTGGGCTTAACAGCTTACAAAAGGTAGGGTAGAATGGTCCAGCGGATAATACTCTGAAGCAGCACGGAGGATGAGACATTTGTAACGTGAATGGCACTCGAGGCAAGAGCCTTTCAGAAAGGAAGAACAGGGACGGCATGATTCTCTCTACAAGTGACGACTCTGCCCTCGGTTTCGAGGATTGAAATATAATTGTTAGTTCATTCACACACACACACAATCATGTGTTTGTGTATGTGTGTATTTTCTTAATTAACTGGAGAAGTGAGGAACTGTTTTCCCACATATTGGGCTTCTGGAGCAGATGAGTCCATGTATGGAAACTGATTAATGCTTAATCAGTTAATTAATTATTAATTTTGTATTAAAATTAATACTTTTTAATGTAATACATTTTAAATACTTGAATACTCTTTAATGCTAAGCAATGAAATGGTCTCCTGAGGTGGGCAGAGCAAGTTGTGCAATGCCATTTGCTTTGTTAGCCGTTGCCTCACCACCACGCCCTGCCATCTTCTCAAACTTTGCCATCAGAAATTGCCATTTCACTTTTCCTGACAGCAAGGAGTGTACACAGGCTGAAGCTTCATATGGCTTCAGACGCAATTCTTCTAACTAGAGATAATCTATGCATTGCAACAGTGAGGTGTCATGTAGCAAGACATCTAGCAATATACAGGAATGCACAAACTGGTCCTTCTTGCCCTTTGATTTTCTATTCTCCTGGGGTATGTTGAGTAATTCTCTGCAATCTTTTGCTTCTGCAAAGCAAAAAAATAGATTAACCTAAAAATTTGCTCCTTATTTATGCCACAAGTATCCTTTGTGAAACGAGTAGATTATCCTAAGGGTATAAATAGCCTGTTTTTCTTAATTGTATTTTAAAAGCAAATTTAGTTGACTCCAGTTTGCCCATACATTACAAAAATTATAACAGATTGCTTTCTGATTAAAAACGCCATTGTTACCTTAAAGTATTCACACATGTGACATCATAAAGCATATAATTGAGTTAAGATACCAACGCTGTAGCAAGAAGTGGAACAATTATTAATGATCACACTGAGGGTAAGTCTTTTAAATTTTATCCACAACTCTGTTCATTCACTTGCTCAGTGCCATTAATGGTGAAAGTGAACGTTCCTAATGAGTGGAATGATGTTCTGTGTAAGGCCTTCGCTTATCATTATTCCCTTCGAGTGTGAGTCTTCAATCTGTTTTCATGGGGCCCTCCTTCCCAGCTATACAATTCATAGGCAAAGACAATAGTTTGTGAAAAGCAACTCCACAGCTGATGGTTTTCTAAGTGAGCATGAGGCTATTCACTTGCACATAATGACCCAAAGAGGGAAAAAGGAAAAAAGGCTTTCTGTTCCTCTGCATTTGTCTTCTACAGGACAGTTTTCTTGGCATTTGTCCTGACGATAAAGTCCTATTTGAGGTTTCTTGTTCTTCTTCTTGTTGTTATTGTTGTTGTTAAGTGAAGGTCACCTAGACAACCGCAAGGGGAATGAAACTGCAAGCCATTGGTAGGTCATTATTTCATCAAAGGGGTGACATCCATTTTTAACTGTGGCAAATCCATTTATAATGTTGATACAGGGGTTTAGTTTTGATTTCCCCCCCCCCCCGATTGGAAATTGGCTGAATGAGATGTCCATGTTCAGAGGCAGTGGATTAATGAACATTGCAAGCAAACTGGGAATCAGTGCAGCTCATATAACTGAAGTTGTTGTATGGGTGAACCTAAGGACACACATCACTGCACATACTGCCACATTCTGGACCAGTTGTAGCTTCCGGGAGGGTCTTCAAGGGCAAACCCATGATGGAATTAGTGCTGGTTGGTAGTGATAGATCAGGGGGGGAAATAGGAGAGTCTGATGTAGCCAGCTTTTCTTTTCAATGTGTTAATATCTTGTTTTGTCTTTTCTGTGTGACCATGAGGTTTCTTTCTTCCATCTACAGCACCTCAGAATTACTTCATGACTTTATGTCACCACTTTCTCTACCACACACTGAAAACCATCTCTTCTCTCCAAGGCAGAAGCCAGCTAGCTTGGGGTTGGTAGCAGCTGCTTTTTGGGGGGAAGAGCAAGTGTTAATAACAGGGGAGCCACCTCAACATTTCACCGTTCTTCTGGGATCTCTAGGCCTGATGACACACCCAGATCTTGAGGGGCTTCTGGGAAGTCAAAATGGATAAAGTTCAGGCTGGAGAATGTCCCATAAAGCAGGCGCCACAGCAGAAAAGACTTGCCAAGAATTCTCCCTCATTGATGGAACCTGCAGCATGCCCTCTCTGCTGGATTTGGTGGGGCGGGCAGATGTAATCAGGGAACTATGCCCGTCTATGAGTTTCTGACTTCAGCAGCTTCCCACAGCTGTGAGATCTCTCTTGGTCATTGGACTGCTACCATTTGATTGCAAGAGTTCAGAAAATTTCCAGTTGATCCCAAATCAGACCTAGTGTTTGCTGTGGGGTGGCCTGTCTCTTGCATCTCGTAGAAAGCAGATTGACATGATATGAATTCTTATACTTTATACTGACCTTATATAAAATTCCCTGAATATAATATAGGGTAATATCATGGCCTGTCAAGAGAGAGTCCAGAAACATATTTCTTAATATACCATCATGGTGATAGAAGCTTTCCCACTCCAATTTATAGAGAAACAAATCTGGTTTATTTTAATTCATTGATCTGTTGGGGATGAAGGCTCTTTGAAAAGGTGGTAAAGCAAAATCAAGCTTTTTAAACATGCATTGAACTGATTTGGTTGAGAGATAGGTGCCTTGTTTTTAGATCATAGCAGGGCTACACCAATGCATTTTGTTGTCTCTGATGATGGACAAGATAGGTACATTTGGACTGCACTTGGAATTAAATTTTTTGTCAACACTAACAATAGGACTGAGTCTTCCATTGCACCTAGACAGAGGGAGAGGCATAGCCCACTAGTTTAGGAGGCAGATATTTGGTTGTGGTGAATTTTATACCTCTGCCCTCCATCTCACTGACTCAGTAGCCAGCATCTATTCCCTGAGGCAACTGCTTCACTCTGCCCAAACTCGGAACATTACTGTATATATACTTGCATTTAAGCCCATCCACAGAAAAGCCAACCTTCAAATTTTCAACCAAAATATTATGAAAATTGCACCACCGGTGAATATATATAATTTTCACAATTGGTTTATCTGTGTGTGGTGCAGTCTTTAAAGTATTTTGATTTAAAATTTGAGTGTTTGCTTATCCATTGATGGACTTATAGATGCATATATATGGGATGTAAAGATATTTTAAGGAAGTATTGCAGTATATTTTTCAAATATGCCCACCAACAGATAAGCCAAATCCAATTTGGAAGGTGTATTTTGGCAACTAAAATACATAGTATATATAGTACATAGTTGTCTTTTAAAATACTAAAATTGCGAATCCTGGGCATTATGTTAACAAATAAAAGAAAAAACGAACACCAGGATATAATAAACCAGCCTGTTTAATATAAACAAGCCTGTGGTTGTATATATGTATAGTATATATTAGAATATTTTAAAATGTACGGTATATTATCAACAAATTTGGAACTGTAATCAAATGGAGCTTAGCCAAAATTAAAAACTGTTTTTCTGGGTTTGAAATTAAAGTATTCCATACTTATTATTTGAAATAACCTTGCCTTTTTTCCGTTTCATCTCTCAGACAAGTTTACATATCCTTAAGTGCTTTCTTCTTCAATCTTTCCTAAGCCACAGAGTTCAGAAAATCCTTTCATAGCTCCCTTTGTCATACCTCTACAGTTGCTATGAACACCAAAGTTATTTTCGCTTTTCCATTTAATAGCTTGATCTAGGAGCTGGAGAAGTTAAACAAAGCATGGAATGAAATTTAAGTTTTATAAAAGAAATTCTAGGGGGTGAAGGAAAGTGACAGTACTTTAGTAACCTTGGTTGATCTCAAAAAAGCTAAGCAGGTTGGCTCTAGACAGTATTTGTATGGAAGACTACTAGAAGATACTAAAGTGTAGGCTAAACTGAGGAGTTTGTTTTAAAAAAATCCTAAAAGAAAGTGATGGCACACTGCTCCTGTACCGTTGCCAAGAAATCAAGCTTAACTTGAGAGACCTTTTTTATTTATTTTTTTAAAAAAGTATTTGGCTGTGCAGTTCACAATATACTCCTGTCTTTTCATTTTTAAATGTCAGGCTGCAAAACCTGGCATCCCCAATGATGAAATCCAAATAAGGATCATGAAAGAAAAGGAACAACATAGCCAAATATATCATACAATGATTAGTGTAAATCATTATTTTGAATCTGGCGATTTGTGGATAAAGGAAACAGAATATTTTAAGGATACATGGTGAACGTAGAGGGACTGCTGTTGCTGCTTAAAAAAAATCCTAACACTGGGCTTCTAACATATTCAATAAGAACTTTTATTTTTATGTTTCGTCTATTATCATTGGCTTCCGTGTTGGCAAAGCCTTCCTTCCTCTTCTTTGTGCAACTTGATGCATGGTTGCACCATGTTTGTCATGTAAACTCTCGCTTTGTAATGCTCTCATTTGCAGGAAGTTGCTTGTTATTTAAATAGGAGGAGAACTCAAGCAAAATCAACCTATTCTCCTTCTCAAGTTATTACTATCAGTTCTTTATCAGTCTTCTGCTCTCCCTTGTTTTGAACAAGACTATGATTTATCCAGTAGAAGAGAGTATCTCTAGCTCAGGGTTCAACAGTGGAGTCCTTCGTGCTTTCTGAGCTTGATGCTAGTCAGTGTGGCGTTTGCTCTGTTTATATAGAGCAAGGGTCTTCAAACTTGGCCCTTTTATGACTTGTGGACTTCAACTTCCAGAATTCCTCAGCCAGCGTGCCTGGCTGAGGAATTCTGGGAGTTGAAGTCCACAAGTCATAAAAGGGCCAAGTTTGAAGGCCCTGATATAGAGTAACTTGCCCTGTCAGGAAAGCAAGGGTATGTGTGTGGTTTTATTTTTGGCAGTTCCAAGGGAAAAAAACTACATCCCCACCAACGCTGGCAGGGCAAGCTCTTGTATATAAACAGACCCCCACACTCCTCCAGCACTGTTGGTGTTATCTAGTTGGGTAATGAAATGTCTACTCCACTATGATTTATTGTTACAGTGAGAAAGAATACTAACAGTACCATTTGTCACCTAAGAGACTTAAGTTAAAAGCTTGTTTTAGTAAAGAGAAAGGCAAGAGACTGGAAGGTGGTGACAGGAAATTCCTGCTTCAGTACTTGTGCCCAATAAGAATAGGATTACTTTATTGGAGAACTAGAACTGAAGAAGCAAGAGAAATTCAAGACCTCTTGTGTTTGCCTGGAGTAATATGGAGTTGTAATCTTGTCAAACAAGAGGCTCATTCTGCTTCCATGAATATGACTTAAAGGCTTCTGTTTTAAGATCATGACCTTAACTCATTTCTATCAAAGAATATCAGGACTCACCACAAGTAGTGCAGAGTTGCACTGAATTGATGTAATTTTACATTTAAATTGCTTTTTAACTAGTTCTTCAACACAGATAAAAGCACGGGTATGTTTCTCAAAGACTCAGGTGAGTCCATAAATGTGCAGTTTTGAATACATTCAGCTGTGAATGGGAGTCCAGTACTATCTGTGAAAGTTAAACACCAACTTTCATCCACAGAGTCCCCCACAGTGCACATTGTAGGTTGTTGGCAATGAGAACCAAACTTTCTCGTAGATGCTGGTCACAATAGGAGTATTCCATTTCTGAGAAAAAAGTTATTTTACTCTTCAGCCTGTTTGGTGTAGTGGTTAAGGCATCAAGCTAGAAACCAAAAGACTGTGAGTTCTAGTCCTGCTTGTACACCAAGCCAGCTGGGTGGCCTTGAACCAGTCACACCTCTCTGCTCTAGATTGGAGGCAATGGCAAAACACTTCTGAAAAACCTTGCCAACAGAAGTATAGACATTTGTCCAGGCAGTGTCAGAGAATCAGACATAATTAAATAGAAGGGAAAAAAAAATCTCCCCGGGCAGCTCAACTATCGGTATATGAAGGTACCAACATGATTCCTTATTAATATTTCACATCATAATTCTGCAAAAAATGTTACTTTGGATAATCAAATTCCAGCTTATTTTCAGATTCTGTTTATAGTCACCATTGATAATTGTGGGAGGCATGGATCTTTACATCCAGTTAGGGTTGGCATTAGATCAAAATTAATGTAATTCCTAGTTTCTGCTACAAATGTGAAGAATCCATGCACCTAACCAGAACAGATGGCTAGAAGGGTTTTTTTTTTTGAGAGGTACAAAGATTAGATACCATAGCCAAAGTTTATACTCTGAAGTTTTATGGCTCATCTTTCTTCCCTTCCTCCTGGTAACTTCCTGGACAAGTCCCTGCAGTTTTCTTGGCAAGATTTCAGAAATTATTTGTTTTTACCTGCTTCCTAGGGCTGAGAGGGAAGGATTGGTCCAAGGTCACCGAGCTTGCTTTATGCTTAAGATGGGACTAGAACTCATAGTCTCCTGGTTTCCCCTATTCTGCTTAACCACTACAGCAAACAATTTACTTCCTGGTTTATTTTGTAATTTCATTTATTTGTGAGCCATTTATGGGCAGGAATATATTACTGGTGACAGGAGAAATGAGAATTCTCACATTAATAACATGAGAATTGTATTAATAAATAACAATAATATAAACACTGGATGTTTGTTTCCCCGTTCAGAAATTCCATCTCACGGAATGAAGGTAATTCTTATTTTAGAGAGCGCTCTGGTGTGTTTAAAAGAACACGTGATGTTGGCATTCCAGGCAAAGCCTTACATTTGTGACACCTTCTTAATGTAATCTCTCCTCCTATTTGAAGAAAAGAATAGAGAAAACAGGGCTGCTACACCTATAAGCTCCTAATAATGGAGAGGCTGATAAGACTCATTCTAATCACTCTGAAAGTATATTTAGCCAAACATAAATACAGAAGCAGTTTCTGATTTTTGCACTGAATGCATGACAATTCCCGACACAGTCCAGGCTCATAGGCATGAAGGTGGAGGAGAATTACATCTGTATCCAGGCAGATACTTCCACGAGGCTAGAGTTGATTCTGAAAGTAGTTTTTTTATTGTTGTTTTTCCCATTTTCATTCTGCCATGCAACATGTTAATATATTTCTCTGCAAATGTAATCGCTTGTTTTCTTCTGAGAGAGGTGAGAAAGAGACTGCTTAAAATTTCACTCAGATGCTTGCCTAATTGATTACGCGTGTTAGTTTTTTATTTCAACATAGCAAACAGCTCTCCTGAGAACTGGGCTCATATTCCTAGATGGAGAATAACAATCTGTCCCTCTATCTTTCTCTCTTTCTTTTTCCAGTTTGACCAACAATGCTTGCTGTGGATTCATTTTTATAAATACTGCAGGCAGCATAAAGAAAAAAGAACGTTCCTTCCATAGGAATTTGATTTAAAAAATTGTTTTGTGTCTTGATTTGATTTTTTTTTCTGCTTAACAATAATATTAAGAAAGTGTATTTGGATTTTGAACCCTTCAAAATGAAACTTTTGCTTGTCATATAACCAAAGGTAGGTTATAATAATTACTAAATAAAACTTAAGCATTCAGCATTTTGAAAGCATAATTCAAAATGTCCCTAATGTATTTTCCATTCCCTTAGGCCTGATCATTGATCATTTTATTGTTCTAGGCTGACCTAATTACTTGAAGCTAATGAAGAGAAATAGAGGGAAAACATGGCTTAGGAAGGTTTATTCAGAAACCAAAATTACTACAAACAATCCTGAATTCCAATTCTGCTTAACATTAGATCACCAGAAAAAGGATTTATGTGGAAAAGAATATAAATGAATCTTACCAGGAAAATTAGTTTTACATAAATTTCATTGACTAAGCCATTGCATCCAGTACTGAGGAGAGAGGCACTTCTTGCAAATAAAAATCTGTTAATAAAGCATAATAGATGAATCCCTTTTTATGCAGCTGAAAAAGCTTGGCAAAAGTATAAATAAGTGAAAGAATCCCTGTGTACCAACAAAATATTTGAAATGTGCCCCACAAGATATGCTGAATCGTAGGTTCTCATTTTGGCTAGTTTATGTTGGATACAGTACTCACATCCAGTGGACTATGTGTTATTTCATCCATGAAATGCTGGTGTTTGTTTTCTGCTGAATGCCTGCTGGTCAGTAGCAAGATGCTATCTCCGGGTTAGCTATTCACAAGCAAGAAGACATGAATAGTATGATTTAAATGGCCGAAAGGTTCATTTAGATTCTTAAGCAGATTGGCTCAATCCGCCAACTGGCATGTTCCCCATTTTGCCATCTAGACAGGATATGCCTCCTGTTGCAATCTATTTTCCATTTCAGCGTCTGTCACTTTTGGTCTGCTATGTGCCTTTATATTCAAATGCCGCAGTGCTAGCAGAACATGTTGATTTTGATTATAGCAGTTGGCTTCAAACATGTATATGTCAGTAACAAATTGGATGAGTGGCACCGTGAAAGAACAGGAGCCTAAGTACTGTTTATTTGGGTTGGCAGCATTTGTCCTGTGGTTTGCCAGATCACAACTCTGCAATATGAATTAGTTAATTACTTGTCTGGAATCATAATTGGGTTGGAGGACGTCTCTCCTGAGATGGAGCTAGATTTGTGTATGTCTGAATATAGCCACACAATATAGTCTGTATGTAGCGAAATACATGCATTCGTTTCCTTGACCTGAGATATTGCAGCTATCTGAAATGTTTGCTAACAGTGGGATTTAGGGGCACACCGGATGGTAGCAGAGGAGAGCACAGACATGAGTAGATCACTATAAAATATTTTGTAGCACACAGTTATTTAAAAAGAGACACACAATGACTTCCTACCATTTAATAAATTGAACAGAACCTTAGAATTAGAATAATTTACAAACAGAAAATTATTTGTACTATATATATAGATTACCAAAGCTCCTGATGCATGGGAAGACTTTTGCCTTGTTTATATTCTTATTTAATTAATTAATTAATTTTTCATTCATTCATTCACATTTCTATATTTCCCATCACACTTAGGTGACTCCCCCATCCTGCCACCATTTTGCATCTGGCTCTGACATGTTCTCTCTCATCCTTCTATTTTGTACCTGGCTTTACCTTTTACATTGCAATCACTGTTTTGTATTTGGTTTCAAGATTTGGTACAAAAAAAAATGCAAGGAGATCCCATAAGTTTTAATCTTGCCATATCAAACCTATCCACAATGTTTGCATACTCAAATAGGATCCACAAACTAGCTAGCTAACTAATATTTTTGAAAGAATTAGTGTAGAATTTGCAGTATACAGTAGTGGCCAAAATTGTGGAAACCTTTTGGGAAAAGTGTATTCTTGAGGTTTGATGGCTAATAACACCACTTTTTTGGAGTAGTACCATAAAATTATATATCAATGGAAAGATAATTTAATCAAGAATGTAATGCAACATATTTTGTTCAATTATCAGTACCGTATTCTATGAAAAGATATAGCCAAATAACCAGAAAAAGGAAGCACAACTTGCTTAGGTTGATATCAGGTAGCTTTCCTTCATCTGATTGTAGCCAATGAGCATGAGTGTTTAGAGAGCCAATCAGATGTCATCTTGTTTTGGCAATGAGCCAATCAGAGCACGGTAGGATTCGGTTATTGATGTTATGTATTGAAGCCGAGAGGAGGAAATTTGTCAGTGTGTTATGTGATCGCTATCAAGTTGGTTGGGTTTTTTTGATCTTTCATTTAGTGAGCTTGTAAAATGTAATAAAATTAAAGTAATGGTGCAAAGAGTTGACTGGTCACCCAGAAAGCGATGTAAAATAGTATTATTAAGTGAACAAGGCTACAGTTATAAAGAAATTAGAAGAAAAATGGGTGGAAACTTAACCAAAAGTGGCATTTCTACTGTACACTTTTCCCAAAAGGTTTCCACAATTTTGGCCATTACTGTATATTCTGACATTTTAAATAGGAGGGAGAGCACAGTCTTTGGAGAAGGGATCCAATAATTTTATTTATATTTATTATTTCTTTTATTAATAATAATTGATATGGCTATCCAAGAAACTCAGGCAGCAAACAACAAAAACAGAGGATTACATGAAAACAAAAAACAACTAGAACTGCATCAAGACACAATATAAACATATAATCACTTGTACCCATGCCAGAGCCCCCAAATTAATATTCTGCCTTGAATGGGCAGTGCCAGAATGCAGAAGACATGTTTCTAGGGATCTGCTAGATGACATTGCTTTATTGATGATACCTGGAGCTTGCCCACTCTGCCAGGCCTGGTAGAAAACCCAGAGGAAAGGTGACTGACTTCAAATCTACTTTCCCTAATAATCCATAAATTAAACAAAATATCAACATATGCTGTTAATAGCTGGGAATTAGACAAGGACCCAAAGAGTAGTTTGCCATGCCATGTGAATCAGCATCATAGACATAAGCTAGGCATTAAAGTTTTTTTCAAGTGTAAAGTGCTTGGCAATTCCTCCAAACACAAGCTTGTTGGGGGAAGTCAAGTTTAT